AACTTGAGGGGGGGGGGGGGGGGGGGGGAGCAGAGAGGGAAAGAGTGAGGCTTATGAATATTTTGAATTCTGGAAATTTGCATCTTTTTGCTAACAGCCCTTGCAGGATTATATGGGATCCGAATCCCGATGGCAGCTTTTCTGTTTGTTCGATTTACAAACAAATTACGCTAGAAAAGTTCCCTGGTACTCAGAATTTTGCAGCTGGTGCTATTTGGAAGACAGTCGTCCCGAGTAAAATATGCTTCTTCCTTTGGACGCTTTGGCACAAGAAGATCAACACCATTGATGTCATCAAAAGAAGAGGGTTGGCTCTTGCTAACCGTTGTGTTCTGTGTTGTCAAGATGAAGAAAGTGCTGATCACCTCTTCTCTAAATGCACCTTCATTCACAATATTTGGAATGCCATCAAGAGAGGGAGAAGAAGTGTTGGCGATCTCGAGGGAGAACTCACTTCAATCATCAATAATAGGCCTTCAACAACCCCCACCAACATTGACGAATGGTTCAAATACTGTTTTCTTCACGCTATTTATTGGCAAGTGTGGTTACAACGGAATCGACGTATCTTTCAAGATGCACAATCACCTCCTATCGTCATTACTCGAGGAGTAGCAAGGATGGTTATCTCATGGTTGACAGCTCATGGAAAAGTTGATACAGATCAAGCTTCAGAGTGGCTAGCTAATTTTTTATCTAGAATCTGATCACCCTTTTTGTTTTGAGGAGTGTTTTCCTTTTCCGTGTTTCAGCAGGGTCGGCCTAGTCCGTCCAGCTGATTGTTTTTGTTGTATGTTGGGACGGCCTTCGCCTGTTTTGTTTCCTTTTTGTTGTTCTTTCTCTCTTTTCTCCGCAGCTGAACTTTTATCGTGTACCTTGGTTCAGTTCTCCTGAACCTCTTGACTTCCTTCTATTTTCATTTTATTTAATCACCATTATCAAAAAAAAAAAAAAAAAGAATGTCAAGATGATGTACGAAGCTATCGGCTATCGACATCACTTGGTCAGTAGTATGAACAGAACTATATATCTGAACAAGACAGCCTTTTCTTTTCCTCAAGAAAATAGGACATAACATTGCTTCCTCTCATTTTGTCCTCACTGCCGCCTGGGAATGTCTACGATTGATCTGGGTCTAATTACTGATAATTAATAATCGCCATGGCAATTGGCATTGTAAAACGAAAAGACCGTCCATGGCAAGATTTCTGACCTATAGAATGCGTTTGTTTAGCTTTTTCTCATGTTTGATTAAAGTGTGCCTCTTAAGAATTTAGATTAAGTAAATCGATCAAGTGTTATATTCCTTATTCATAGATAGTTTGCTATGTGAATTATGCATCTAATGATAAAATAGTAAGTCCATTTAAGATTTTAGAAAAATAAAATTTATTGTAAGATAAGTATTTTTTATTAATAGAAATATAATTTATGAGATGGTGAACTTCAACATCGACCTTTTCAGTGAAAGATCAATGTATAGGCCAACTAGGTTGGACAACATTTTGGTCAATGTTGTTTCTTAACTAAAAGAAAATATAAATATCAAATTAGTATTAGTTTTTAGAACTACAATACATGCTCATATATTTTTCCAATTCCAAGTGAACCTCTTAACACACTCCTCTTTTTTTTATGTTTTCCTTAGATTACAATCAAATTATTGATTGGTTTATTTTATTTTTAGATAACCTCCAATTTTCAGTGTTCTCAAAATCATATCAAACATTGAAGTGAATTAAGAAGAGGTCTAATATTTAGGGCTTAAGCGATATTTGACTGGTGTAATATCATTTTGAAAACCGATCAATAAAAATTGCATGAACATATAATATTTTTTATGATAGTTCTGAGAGTTAATACTAATTTAATAGTTTTACATTCTTTGACAAAAATATGACAAGAAAGTGAGGTAGCCTAGTTGGCTTAGCCAATTGCCTTGCAACAAAGAAATTGTAGTTTTACTATTATAAACGGGTGAACCGAGTCGATGGCTTTGGGCGGTTAACTGCTCAAATCAGTTGTAATAACCCGCTCAATTGTAGTATTTCCTAGTTTGACACCCTTGATTTAACGAAAAAAAATTGTTGGGTGTGTATAGATGGGCCATTGGGGGACAGGGGCCCATGGAGGCTGCTTAGGCCCAAACGCGCTTCAGTGCAAGGAGATGGGGATGAAAGGTAGGAGTGAGGCCCATTCGAGGATCCACAGGCGCATAACGACAAGAATGGAGCGGGGACCGCACAAATTGGGGACCAGAAGGCTGAGGGCATGCCACCTGGCTAGGTGGTCCTGCAGGCGCCAGGGGCAGGGAGCCCAGGAGTTGCCACGTGGAGGCGACCGACCGTTGGGCCGTACCGAGCATTTAATGACGCGCTGACGTGGAGTGAATTCTAGGAGCCTGGTCGGGGCCTCGACGAGTATAAATAGTACTCGGTAGGTAGCATTTAAGCAGGTTGGCTTCTCTCACTAAAATCTCTTTGAGCACTTCTCTCTCTAAACTCGGCACTGACTTGAGCATTGGAGTGCTAACGGGCATCCCAAAGCCTTTTAGGCGCCTGTCTCTGCAGGATCTAGGCGCCTCGGAAGAAGTTCGTCAGACGGAGGTCCGGAGAGGTGGGCCCGGAGGGTACTTAGCACAAACAAAAATAGTTTGAGTCTCAAGACTCTTAATTTTTTTTTATGGAATCTACTTTAACTTATTAATCAGATGTCACTGATATATGATCCAGTTGAATCTTATCAACCAAATAAACCGTTAGTCTACCTAACCAAACCATACTTTCATCCCACTAGGAATGGCAATTTTGCCCATACCCATGGGTTTCTTACTATCCAACCCAATTGGGTTGGGTATGAAATCCAAATAGATGGATATGGGTAGAGTTTGATGGGTTTGTACCCATACCCATTTACTTTGGGTGAGTTGGGTTTATATCAAATGTATTTGGGTTTGTACCCATGCCCAAATACAAATTACAGTTTGGTACCCAAACTTAATAGACATGCATATTTAGTACCTAAATTTAATTTTTTTGCATATAAGTCCTCAAAATATCGATGGAAAATTACGTTTTGGTACCTAAATTTTTTTGGTCTTACATTTTGGTACCTAAACTTTTCAAGTTTTGCAAATAGGTCCAATTTTTGCATGTGTAGTTAAAACACCCTCAAGTAAATGGATATCCATATCCAACCCATACCCATTTAGATTATGGAAGCCCCAAACCCATCTATAAACCCCAAATCCATATGCACTTCACCCATACCCAACATATTATCAATGGGTCTACTTGGGTTTGGGTATAATTACCCATGGGTGAGTAATTTGCCATCCCTACATCCCACCGCGTTTTCCAAAGCAATCATGTGGTCGTGAGTCAAGACCATGGCATGGCGTGAGGATATGACCATGTGGTTGTGAGTTGACAACCATGCGATCACAATGAGGCGACCACACAGCCACAACACCATGGCACGACAAGAGAGAGAAGCAAATTGGGTTCCAAGACTTCAATTTCAAGTGAGGTACCTAGGTAGTTGAAGGAGCAACCACCACCCCAAAGAAGAAGGATCGATTCTTTGTAGTAGTAGTTATCAAGAAGACAATCTACAAAGCAGTTACCACCACATGCCGATAAATAAGAGAGGAGGTCAACGGTAACAAGATATTCCCAAACCCAAACAATTGATGCCTACGTCAATTTGTATATTTTCTCTGCAAATGTAGTCATAATCATAATTTGCAGCTCTCGTTAAACCTATATAAGAGTAGAAGTAACTTGACTTAGTTTTCATTCCCAAAAATCATTAATCAAACAAATTCGTTAGAACTTTGCTTGAAAAGGTGTACCCGTGTCGTAATAATCATTGTCCGGAAATGTTAAGATGCATTTACTTCTATTTAACTCGAATTTTCAAACGTGAAAACAAATATATAGACCTAGCAATCAGGTCGGGTTGGGTAATTTCGAGTCGGGGCTTTCGGTTATGGGTCGGGTCATGTTTGCTAGGCTAATTTCGGGTCAAATATTGACTCAACCCATTCGGGTTCGGGTCGGGTTACGGGTCATTTCGGGTTATGAGCGCTCTCAGAAACAATATCAAACATGCTTCATATTTTCTTAAAGAACACAAATTTTCACATGCGCATGACAATTGTTTATCTAACACATGTCAATTAACATATTCTCAAATCCTCCCAAGCTAATGAAATGAAATACAAATTACACAAATCGTCAAAAAACAATAACAAGAGTAATGCTACTACAAGAAACACATGATATTTGATTATCCTTAAACTCCAAACATGTCATTCAAATCCATGTGAATTTCTTTGAACATCTCACCAATTTATGAGTGATTTTATCATTTTGAGAGTGATATGTAAAATGGAGCGGGTCTAACGGGTCAACCCGCTAACCCACCCAACCCGACCCAAAAAATGACGGGTTATTGGGTTCGGGTCATTCGGGTTTCGGGTTATTAAAACTTCTACTTTTCGGGCGGATTCGGGTCGGGTTGTAATTTGCCATGTCTACAAATACATTAGCCTTTCATTGTGGCCACGGTTGTGGCAGGGATGCTTAAACCTATACATTTTGGTGATCACAAACAACGCCATCTTAAGACCAATCTATAAGAACCATTTCATAATGAACGAGAATTACCCATGCGAGATCCAATGACGTGCAGCGTCTGTGAAATGGTTCTCAAAGATAAGCTATAACTATGAGAACCATAGTTAAATTGATTTGGAATTAGCAGCAATATGGACAAGCAGACCAAGGATCAGAAATCCCCTAACTCGTATTTGTGTCTTTCAGCAAGGTAATTGATTTGTGAATCAGTACTACTCCCAACTTAATTAAAAGTTGAAACCAGCTGTGCATGTGGAGAGAGTAGGACGAATGTCCATTAATCAGGAGGTCGGTCAGTCAGTCTTAGCTCCTATAATCCCCACCCACATACACAATTTAACACATGGTACAGAGACTCGGGCGAAATCTTTTAATTTGTTGTTAACGTCAACCTGTGAAACCCAAAATACCAACAGGCAACCACTACGACTCGCTGGACACGATTACCATCCGAGTATACACCATTAGTTTCGTTACTGCAGAAAGTAGCAACGAGCCCTAATTGTACGTAAAGATATACTGCTAAGCAACTGGTAATGCGAAAGGAGCACTAGGAAAATCATAAGCCTAACAGATGGCTCATGGCTGTGCAGTGAATCAACATAGCGGACAAGAGTACCAAAAATCCAAACAAACAACGGGGGAAAAAAACTCTGATTCTCTGAAAAGCTCCAGTTGCCCCTATCAGTTGAAGAACATAAATATCGACAACACAGATACCTGTCAATGGATCAGTGAGAAAAATAAGAAAAGGAAGGAGAGACCGACTTCAGGTAGAGGGTCACCAAGCAAATGACCACTAAGTTCTCTTCAACTTCGTCAGATTGTACAACAATGTCAACTGTATTGATGACCGTACTTCACCAGAAATAAAGAATTTAGATGCAACAGCCATAGCAATTATAGACAACTGCATCATGAGGAACAATACGTTTTGAAGTTTTCTTGCGAGTTACTTAAGATCACTGAAGGTATATACGCCTGCAATGCCACACATGACAGTATGTGTATATGCTTATTAAAATGTTCGAAAGAGTTTATTAGTTATACAAACAATGGCCACCTTTTAAATTGCAGAGAAAGAAGGTTCATATAACAAAATATATAAAACAGAACGAAAGAGTTCAAGATGGTAAGCTCTCGTCCATACTAACAAAGTCAGTGACACTTCTTCTAGCATCATTTCCATTGGAAACTCAGGGGTATCCCAATGTAGCAGGCAGATGAGAATACTGTAAGCAGAGGAGAATGGTCTCATTGACACACAATTCTACAACAGACAGCCTTTCTCTAGCTTCCACCAACTATGCCCAAGTTTAAACATATCCAAGAGGGGCTTCTTGTGAATATACTATCGGACGAAGGAGTGTATCTTAAATGTCGGGTGCAATTACAAAGGGAATCAGAAATGAACAGAACGAATGGCTTGTTCTGTTTATAAGCAGTTAGCTACAGCAGATATGTTACTAGCTTAACAATAGGGCTTAAATCACATAAGGATGTTTGATACAGCTAGAAATCCAACTGTACTATAATAGCTGCCAACAAACACTCGAGATCAGAATATGAAGAGAAAGAGATTAACCAGATATGTGCTGATCTACCCTCTACGGTCTAAATATCTACTCTCTTTCGCACCTCTCACCGTGTAATGAAAAAAGCAACTAACATTCCCTCTGAAATCACGTTGGTGAAGGATAGCTCTTAGCAAACACTATCAGGAACAAGAACTAAACAAAAGAGAGCTTACTAGTGCATGTCTACGAGCTTAGTGTCATTTCCTTGTGTGATTCTCACTAATCACAAGGAAACACCACCAAAATGGTGGGGTAAAACCATCTTCTATAGCTCTGAGTTATCCATGGTCACATTTTCTTTTTCCCTAAATCCACCACAATGTCTCAACTGGAAACAAAACCGATTTCACACAAAGCTCAGATACCAGTCCATGGATGATCACAGCCCCAGAATCAACACCACACAAAGATAAGATAAAAAAACAAAGCAAACTGATTGGGGAAATGCATCTGAAGCATACTGAGCGGAATAGAAACCCAAAAACCCTAGACAGGGTTTCTAACCCTTATATAGAAGTCATTTCTCATATAATCGGGGCATAACTTAGCACGAATAGATCTCAATCTCGAAGTCAAAGATAAGCATTACAGTACCCCTAGAACAAAGAAGAACACATACCACATAGAAGTTAAAAGTTGCTAACAAGTTCAAGCGGCAGCCTCGTCAGAAGCCGGAACTTCTTCGGCAGCAGAATCAGCGGGGTGCGGCACATCAAGAGGAGGAGTCGCCGGAGCAATGTTGTTCGGGGCAGTTTCGGACCCGGCCCGAGCCTTGACGGTTTCCAGCATCCGCTTGCTGATTTCCTTGGAGTACTGCTGGAGGATTTCGAGCCCGTCGTCCTCGGGGGTAGTTGAGTGGCTGGAGGCGGCGAAGGCTTCCTCCTCGATGCGGCGAGCAGCTTCGGCGGCCTCGTCGGTCGGAATCGTGCCGTAGCGCTTGGAGAGGACGGAGGGAGTGGACAGGGTCTCGATTAGGCGAGAAATCACGGCGTCGCGGGTGCGCTGCGAAGGGGGCCAAATGCTGAGATGACTGCTTCTGGCCGGTGATGGGGCCGGCGGCAGCATCATCTTGTCTTCCGATTGCTTCGGCGGCGCTGTGGCGGTTCCGTCGGAGTCCGTCATTTTCAGGGAGTGGCGGAGAATGTTCTAGAGAGAGTGAACGGAATCGGTGAGCTTTTGGGGCTTAGAGATACTGAAACTGAAGCTGAAATAGGAAAAAGAAAAGGGGTTTGTGGTTGTGGCCTGTGGGATTGCGTGGGGTCGGTCGTATTCTTGCGTAGTAGGTATTATTACAAGGATGGTTCACCTTAGATCCGATTTCTATTTTCTAATGCACAAAACGATGTCGTTTCTCACGTGTATCTCAACTACATTTTTTACCCATAGTACATTTTTGTGTACTTTTCTTCTTTTCAAATTTCCTGCGACGAGAATGAGAATAGGAAAAACGTTTTTGTCTTTACAATTAATTATTTATCTCACATAAAAAATATCAACATCAAGATTTGAACCCGAGTCTCTTCAAACAAAGACAACAATCACAACCATTTACACTGAACAAATTTGATGTGTATTTTTGAATACAAAATATACACGAAGGTCAGCTCTCTGAAAATCGCAGGACTTTCCATCATGATTAGCAAGCCCACTAAGTATACCGTATGTATTTTTATGGTGCTTGATACTTCAATTTTCATAGTAGAGTTTCATGTAATTTTCTCAATTTTAAAATTCTTTTCTCTCCTTAATTTTTGCTAAAGGTAAATTGGTAATTGGCTAACATGGAAGAAACTAAATTTGTCACTACGTGTTCTGTCCTTGCATTTTTCAATTTAAATTTTGTGGTTTTTATCTCTTTCTAACTTCCTCGGAAATTTCCTCCATCGTACAATAGTTTGCGCCCCTTTCACTTCCCAGTACAAGGCCACCTTTGAAAATCGATCATCCGGTATCTCTTGGCACGCAGTTTTATTGTTGGGCAAGTAAAAGAGTTAAATCAATAATGGAGTTGCAGAAGGAGGATTCGAAATTGAATTTTTGGTTGAAACATATGTCTCTTGAGATAAAAATGTGGTTGTACAACGAAGAGTGGTGGCTATTGGATCTTTATGTTTATGGTTTTTACATCTATAACAACCTATTTCTATCTTAAAACAAGGAATCATTTATTGATTTATTGAAGTAAGTCGATTCTTTATTCAACCTACTGGAACTGATAGACAATGAGGGTCTAATTTTGTGCATTATTATTTTGATTGAGTCTATTAGTATGTTGGAGATAACTCTAATTTTGTCGTTTGCTCTCAAATTTTGATGGTCCCCTCTTAGCATGAGTTGTTAGTATATAGTTGACTTGAATCAACAACTCTCCATTTCTTTTTGATTAGTGACATATTGTTCATTAAAGGAGCGCATTAAACATTTATGTAAGATTGTGAGGTGATTTAGTTTCAAACTATCTAATGGTCGTGTGGAATTTCACTGAGCTTTTATAGCCTCTTTCTTGACAATAAACTAACCAATAGTATTTTAACAACGACTTAATTATCATTATGAAAATGGAATTAATGATACATTTTATATTTTATATTCTTAAATGATGATGGTATTTCTCCGAATGTTAGACCTATATATTCTTTCTTTATGTATCATCTCGATCGAAGGATTGACAATAAATTAAACCGGTTGATTGGCTTAAACATAAAATAGAATATAAATAATCAAATAAGAACATTCCGGTCATTGGGCCGGGTTAAAAGTTAGTTTAAAAAAATTAATAAACTTTCTTGTAATTTCTCAAATTACATACAAAATTAATTTGGGAGTAAAGCAAAATACAGCTGGATCGCCTAGTTTAAAAGTGCAATTGTTTGATTTTAATGGCTGCATTAAGATTGGACTATACGTAAGTTCTTTTATTTATCGAATTGTTCTGGTTATTATATTCATGAAATGCGATGATATTTTCACTAATACAAATGGATGAGGTATATACTCAGTGCCGTGAGATGGAAACGAAGGTTGTAATTAATTGAATTTAATCATAAAGAAGCCAAGAGTGCTAAATGCGACTCCAAATTTAATCATGCTTTCTTTAACAACAAGCAGTCGTGGACTGTGGTAAGATGAAAACGGAAAGAGCAAAAAGGAAGAACGGGAATGGGCCGTGGTGGGAAGTTAAGCTGGGGGAGACGGGCTTGGGTTGCAAGGCCCATAACAGTTACAAAAGAAGGTCCCTGTGGCACAAACTCCAGAACAGGTTTCCGGTTTGTGTCCGAATTTCTTGCAGTCTCTCTTACATTTGGCGTCGCAGTTGGAAGGCCTGCAGTTCTGCACCACGAAATTCTTCATCAAGCAAATCAAAACCGGCGGTGGAGCTGGCGTGCCTCCCGCCGCCGTTGCCACCACTGTCAAACACAGGAAGTAGCATTAGAGTCTTGGGCTAATAGCCCATATGTTCCGGCCCAGTTCCATAAAATGCCCAAAAATCAAACAAATTATGGAAATCTTGAATTACAATTCTGAAAATATATCGAATATATAGAAATTATTATAAAGTAAAATTGTACGCTTGATGAGAAAGAGAGAAACCAGCAACACAATAGCAATAGCCATTACACTACGTGATCCTGCCATGGTGGGAGAAAGAGAGAAGCCAGCAACACAATAGCAATAGCCATTACACTACTTGATCCTGCCATGGTGAATGATCAGAGGAAGAAGAGAGCTTATGAGTTTGAATTGGTTGAGATAGGCACAAATCACAATGTCCATCCAGGCCAAATATATAGCTCTATCTTTGTACCGTGAATAAGAAACGCTTATGCATGAAAACCAAAATGAGAATGTGTTTAAAGGAAAGAAACCAATGTAGTGGATACGATGAATCAAAATAAACAAGGAACATGTTTGATGCATTAAGCGAAATTCAAATGATCAAATTAATATTGAACCTTACATAATGGCATGTGTTAATTTCAAATTTCTTGGTTAACAATTAGTTTTTTCCTTATTAAATTATGTGATGTTCCTTCGGAGATATGCGATGTTTAGGTGGAATAAGAAAACTCTATAAACTACACATCTCATTATAACAATTCTTGCCCAATTTATGTTTATCAATTCATTACATATTTGTAGGGTGGGTTAACTAAGGACAAAATCCGAAAATACCAAGTTACAAAATAAAATCCCCACAATAACTCATTTTAAAGAGAATTTCCCAAAATACTTAAATGGGAACATTTGCTCTAGTGTCAAGCGAACTAGGTAATGGTTCGCTAGACATTAGAGCGATCCACACTGGTTTGCAGCTGTTCCAAGCGAACTACACTAATATAACGCAGATCACGGCTATTCCAAGCAATATGTGTCAAACCTAGGGTGGATCGTTCAACACACCCGTGAACTACTCATAATTACCTAGGTTAAAACTTCAAACGATCGTAACTTTGTGTCTTGTTATCCAATTGTAGCAAATTTTTTGATTCCTCATACCTTTTCGAGATTTTCGAAGCCACAAACCATCATTTGGTATGCCTTCGTTGCAAAAAAATGTTGTTTGCTACCCCAAGCCGGTCCTTTTTATTTTTGCCAAATGTTGGAATATCGTAACTTTGTGCTACGGAGTCCGATCATCACAATTTTTATATTGTGCTCAACTAGGAGTGATAATGATCGCTGACTAGTTAAATCGGTTACCGACTATCTGGTTATCGGTATACCGTTTTCCTCCAAAACACTGCCAAATACCGATACCAAAAAGAAACCGGCTAACCGAATAATCGATTAGAAACCTGGTTAGCCGGCTAATCATTATTAAATCTCACCGTTAGTCTACATCGCCGCTTCTTCCCAAATAGAACCCACATCTTGCCATCAAACGATTCGTATTCTTCTCCTTCTCTCAAAACTCAATGTCTCCAGCTAAAGCGAACCTCACTTCTCCATTCAATCTTTCCCTTCTTGTTGGCGGCGGCGGTGACAGAGATTAGGTGAAGATGACGATGGCCAATCAGATCTCGATGGTGGCTCGACTGCTGTCGACTCGATGGCTCATGTCGGCAATTGGGATAATGATGGTGCCCAGGAAGCCAATGTTGACGACGACTGAGATGATCATAGGAAGATGATGCTCGGAGAGGCCTCTGAAGACGAATGCGGTGATGGGTGAAGGGAGATGTAGCGATGGCGTCGTAGAGTAGATGAGGACTGGAGAAAGACAATGCATGTCATCTTGTAGACGAAGACAACCTTCCCATCTATTGTCCTTCTTCTCTCCCTCGCCGGTCGTAACCATTGGAGCAGTGCAGGCTTCTTCTCGCCTTCCCCCTTCTCTCCTCCGCTTTGAGATCTAAATCCATAACCACTGCTTCATATCTGCGACAGGACACATGGAATGTTGGAGAAGAAGGGTTACATGGGTTGGAGGGTTTGCAAGAACGTACGGAGGTGAAAGTAGAGGAATTGGTTAGCGATAAAGGGAAGGGGGAGGGTGAGAAGAATGGTGTAACGGTGAGAGTCGAGGAAGGAGAAGAATGAAAAGAAGTAGAGGAGGGGAGGGTTAAAAATGGGGCAGGCAGAGAGGGTGGTAGTCAAGGAAGAAGAAAAATGAAGAGAATCGGGGGGGGGGGGGGGGGGGGGGGGGGGGGGGGGGGGGGGGGGGGGGGGGGGGGGTTGAAAATGGGGCAGGTGGTAGTAGTGCGCGGTTAGTTTTCGGTATCCGATTAACATGGCGGTTACCGATACACCGGAACATGCAATAGGCCCCCTGATTACCGTCCGAAACTACTATAACCAGTTAACGGTATACAGGTAATCAGCGGTAATCGGTATGGTTACCGATTATACCATTAACCGGTAAACCGTTTACCACCCCTATGCTCAACTTTTTAAGGACTACAAATTTTTCTATAGAAGTATTTTCAGAATGTATGTGGAAATGGGGAAATTAAATATTATATCATTCTCAAAACCCCGTTATTCCAAAAAAATATCCTTTTTGGAAATTTATTCCTTGTAAAAGTTGTAGATCTTGAAAATTTATGCGGAATAATAAAAATCGCTACGATTGGACAATCGAGCACAAACTTATAATTATTAATTATTTGAAGTTCTGAACCTATATTATGAGTAGATCGTGGGGCTGACCATCGATTTGAGTGGTCCCCTGGGGTCAGCCGCAAACCACACTCATTTTGGGCCTTTCGGTTGTTTTGGCAGCAATCCGACCCCTTCGAATGTGATTCGCTCTAGTGTCAAGCGAACCACAACTTTGTTCGCTTGACACTGGAGTGAACTGTTCCAAACTTGAGTATTTTGGGAAACGTTTTTGTAAAGTGAGGTATTGTGAGAATTTTATCTTGTAACTTTGGGCATCTTTGGATTTCTTGTTTGCTTGATGTTTCTATTTTTTCAGAAGATAATGAAAAGAAAGAAGCAAATTTAGCAACCTATGTTTAACTTTTATTCTCTCCCAAAAACCTACCAATCCTCTTACAAAATGACGACAAAGCACTATTTATTGCAGCCACAGAACAAATTATGGGTAGTTGTGAAACATTATGATACGTAACACTCTACTCGCTAGATCATACTTCTTCATCAGAAGTCAATCATAACAAAGATCTTATACATACCTTTTTATATTAAACCCTATCTTTAAAATTTCTATTTTCTCTCGACTCAAATGAGCCAACAAACAATGTGCATATGAATGTTTGCACAATTCTCATGAAAATTTAGATCTCTCCAAATAAGCAAAGAAAATTCACGACAAATAAACAGATTTTTGGCCTCAACCTCACGGATCATGCATCTATTGGCAAGTTGGAAACCTTTCTTTTGTAGATTGTCCAAAGTTTTGATGTTGTGATGCCACGCCACAAACGAATGTGTCTCAAAAAGAGATACAGTTCAAGTTCAAACTGTCCAAATCCTTATCAATCGCGGAAAAATATTCTTGCCGATGCAAGATTTATGTGATTTCCTCAATGATGATGATCGTTGAGACTAGTCCACGAAACAAGGCATAATGTTTTAGTGACAAAGTAGGCGTCATAATTATAAATTCATATGTGAGAAGCATTTTTTTATAATGATGAATTTTTTTTATAATTGATATAATACTTTTGGGTGCGTCTATGGTGCCTTGCAAGTCAGAGTAACTTGCACTTTTTGGTCGAACGCGGCCAACCTAATTCACCATCGTGGTTACTCTGCTGAAATATGACGGTCGACCTTAAATAGCATAGTGATCGACCGTGTTTAGTTAGCCGATACCTTAATGGATGACCCCATAAAATTTTTGGTCGACCTTTCAATTTAGTCAGAAGCAACATGGTAGGCCGTAAAGTACTGAAATGGACGACCATATACAGCAAGAGGTCGACCAGATACAAGACTAAAGTACTATCTATTCATCCATTCCCTTGACGTGAAACGTAGATAAAAATTGTTGGTTTCCTGGTCACCACATAGAGTAAAGGTTGACCTTGTATAGGAAAATAACCGTATGACCTTCGACTTTTTTGCTTATGTATGTTGATGTGTGTGTTAGTTTTGCTCGTACAAATTATGTTTGAAACCAACAGAATCAATACTCAATCATGATATCAAGAAATCATAAATTCATAACATAAGTACTGGACATACTAACAAGAAATACAATAAAATACAACTCATAATTGTTCACACATACCTAAAATTAAAAACCACTCAACATCAATCGACGATCATAGTTGTTTCAAACCAAATGGTCTTTAAGAAAAAACAACAAAAGAATACAATCTAAAATCATGGAGTTCCTACATCTCTCCCCCCTCTCAGTCATCCTCATTTTCCTCATTGGTGGTGGTCGCATTATGGTAGTAGAATGTGGTGGGATGCATGTATCTTCAACTGAAAGAGCGGAACTCGTCTCGCATATCTGTTACAGTCAGCTGCAGTGTGCTCGCCTAGGTGGTCATCTGCCCCATGTAATCGTACGTGCCAGGCATCTGGGTGGACATCTGTCCCATGTAGTCGTACATGCCATCCATGCGGTCCCATATACGTTGTAGGGTGACTAGTGGAGTCACTACAAGAAAAATCACTTCCGATCACGGGAATTCCCGTGACTGAACAGCCGATTCCGGTGACTGATCATCCGATTCCCATGACGGAAAGCTTTTGTCACAGTATATTCTCGTGTCAAGCATGCCCGTGATCAAAGGTCAAATATCACGGGAAATCTCGTAACAGGAAATAATACAATAACGGGAAAACCACTGTGACTAGTGGCGGATCCAGGGGGTGGCCACCCCGGGCCATGGCCCAGCCCTCCTCTGGATCTGGAGCTAGTATAGTCCTTATGAGTTTATCGATTTTAGTCATTCGGTACAGTGTTATTTTATAATAATATTGTGTTTCATTAGGAAAATGGGTCAGATGAACATATTCAAATCATAATTCTAAATTTAGCCTAGAAATTCTAGCTCCAATGATTCTCGTCTAAAGAAAAAAAAAACAATGAAACCGAAATAGGGTTGGACACACAATACAAATTGATTAGTCGACTAATTTGTCTATTGTTGACATTGGTCGTTTCAACAACCACTATGGAGAGAACCTTTTCAATAATGAAAAATGTGAAAAATGATTTGTGCAATAAAATGATAAGATTAATTTCTCGCAGATTGGTTAACTATTTTATTTGAAAGAGAGTAATATGCTATTGGTGTGGATGTATACTCCATTATTGATTATTCACTATATTTAAAGATCGACGTGTACAATTGATATCATGTTTTTTTACGATATCTAATTTTCTAATGAAATGCGGCCCAGTGCTCTATTATGTTCTGGATCCGCCGCTGACCGTGACATAAGACCTATTTTGTCATGGTATTTCTCGTGACTAATGTTTGAACACGGGAAACTTACTATGACATAATATCAATTTTGTCACAGGATTACCCGTGACTAATGGGATATTTTGTCGCGGGATTTTGCCTAATTGCCACGGGATAGTAGTCACTATGAAATTGCCATATTATATTTACCTAATTATACTTTTTTTGGTAAGTTACCTAATTAAATTTAACATCAAGAGCAATTCAAATACATTAATCAATAATCTTATAAATGAATGAAATTCAATTGAATTTTATAAATTTTAGTCTCATAATATCAATACAAAATACAAAGATCTTAAAAGTATAAGGAACTGGTGAGTGTTACTTTGGAGATCACTCAAGTATCCTAAACATAGAATCTAAAGATGTACTACAACTTGTTCTAGTTACAAATTGCAATGACAAGTACTTTTCATGAACTAAATCTTCCTCCAATCTAGCCATGTTGATGTTATCTGCAACCTGCTACAAAAAGTTCAATAAATAAGAACTCTAAACATCTCAAACTCCGACTATGCTTACACATAATAACAACGACAACAAATAAGAACTCATTTACAAAGTGCACCCAAAGTATACTTCTCATGAACCAAAATCTCTCTACCATAAAGTCATGTTGATACTATTGCAAGATGCAAAATGTTTATCAAATCGTGGGAGAAATGGTTACATATGTATTCTCATTCGATTTAACATGTTTATCTCTCTATAATGCACAAGAAGTCTGTCATTATCTGAAATCATTCCTACTCTTCACTACTTCCATCTCTTTTCTGGTACCAACAAAGATACCCTCTTAATGAATTAAACTTCATCTATTAAGAGGCCAAGTAAACCGTGACCTCTCCACCCTTTTTCACTAAAGAAGCTAGCTGCACACAAGCCTTCCATTTCTGTAACAGGTTACTTTTCAATTGGTATTATACCAACAAACAATTTAAACCCGTTGATAGCAAACTTCACCATCGTACCATAAGCTTTACCAAACACTTAGAATAGAAATGCAGGGGCAAAACATAAGTTTTACTAAAATCAAGAAACACCTTATTGATTGAATTCGTCTATATTTAATTGACAATACTAGGGGAAATGATGATTCATATGGCAAGGATTTGTAATCACAAACATCATACAAAATTCTTCCATGGAGAAGTTCTACTACACTAATAACAAAAAAAAAGAAATGACTAGGAAATGCAACTGAATTTAGTTGCATCAATCAATGTAATAATGGTACAGTCAATTCAGATGTTAATCGGATCAACATTGAAACAAACATGAAAAGGAAAGCACATAGAGAAAACCGACAAAGTGACTACCTTTTTCTTGTTGTTGCTGCATCAAAAATTGCAGCATGAGTAGCGTGCTTGCAAGTTAAATTATCCCCACCCCATTACGATTTATGCAAGTTTGGTGAAGCACCTGAAGAAATGCATTCAAATACTTGAATTAGGCTTTTAAGGAATCCAAAAGGCTAGAAACTCATGAGACCATCATATCAGTAAGCTGATGCACAAAAGGAACCTAACCTGTTTTTCTAATAATATGAGAAATGAGAATTAATTAAAGTAACTTCCAGAGCTCAATCCCTTTCACTGATAATATGAGAAATGGGAATAAACTAATTAAGTGTTTTTCATCCCACAACCATCTGAAGGGCCCAATTAGGCTAACACCACTGTTTGCAATCTCTCCCACGACCTTGGGGTTGCTTTATGCTCCTTTAGAAACAGAGTTCTAAGAACATAATTTATTCCTTAGTACTGCTACTTTGATGTACCCAGAAGATACAACTCACTTAAATATGAATTCAAGCACATCATGCAACCTCATATATTAGTACTTTTCGGAATTCAACAACTCCAGCCATAGAATAGCTAAACGAAACTACACCCAAGACATAATGGAACCAACATCAAAATTCTAGATAATAGATAGAGATGTATATATATTTGTCATGCCAAAGCAAGTACCATAATCTAATCTAGCAAAAATCCTTGTGGAGGCACCGAATATTGAAGTTTGAACATAATAACCCATAATCACAAAAAGCATGAGCATGAGAGGCATAATAACTCTGCATCACTTATAACCACAATTCCTTGTAAAAACTACCAGAAAATGAAAAGAAAAAAAGGGTTGCACAACAACATGCCTTTGTCGACATATCCACGCACTATTGCTAGGAAGGGCATCACTCTCGATCCAAAAATAGCAGTAATTCTTCAGAAGCTAGAGGATTTGACTGCTTTGATAAGAGAAATCATCACAAATCTGCAATTTTGGAGCCCAATTGACAGATGCAAGAAATCAACTAGGAGGCCAATTGACTGAAACAAGAAATTCCTCAAGGGACGGGGTGAAATGAGGTGGGAGAATGGGAGGGATTGAGTCCCTTTTAGGAGAGAAAACGAAACCATGTTAACGCTGCATAGGGGGAAGCTGACAGAAGGACGAGATTAGTCGAGGATTTGTGCAATTTTGGAGTCCAACGGAGGAGGGGTGCAACAACAAGGAGAGTTTTATCTTTGACGAAGGTGATGGTGGTGTTGGTGGGGAAGCAGTGAGCGGAGGGAGTGTTCGAGGAATTTGCAAGCGATGCCAGAGGCGGTGGGAGGAGAGTCTGCAATTGAGGGATTGCAACATATGGCTTAGATTTGAAGAGGCATAAGGAAGTCATCGTATCTGCATCTACATCTGCATGAAGAGGCAGAAAAAGCTAGGTATGGGATGGATCTGGAGTAGAGCTCCAAAATGGATTATCTTGGGGAATAAATTATTCACAACTTATTGATGGCCGTACATGAGGAGGGCATGAATTGCTTTATGCTTTCTGTAAAAATTGGTAAAACTGAGTCAAAAGAAAAGGTTAAAAAAGAACAAATAATGGAGGGCGGTAAATTGAAAATTTTCAGGAGCCAAAAAGTAGAGGAAGATAGCGTCAAACTTTGTTTTGGCTCCCGCTCACTGTGTTTTTCTCCCGCCAACCAAAAGTCACGGGGAGCATTTGTTTAACAAAAAAATTCATGGGATTATTTTCCATGATAAATAATACACTTTCGATCACAGGGCCATGCCTGTAACAAAATGTACCCGTGATTAAAGATCTATTTTCTTGTAGTGAGTTGAACTCTCTGGCTGTGCCATAGGCTCGTATCCGGGCTCTTCATCATCATCACCACCATGGACTACATGAGGATTGTATGCTCGGACATACTCACCATCATTCTGCTCAAATCCCATCTTCTTCAGGAATGTAACTGTGTAGAACTCCTGCGTTGAAACTCTTAAACAAACCTCACCTCTTAAAATCCACATTAAAAATGCTCAAATAGAAAAGTGAAGATCATCCCTTAGGGAAGATTCCTGTTTGAACTTTCTGCAACAGCAAGCATGTGTTTAAAGATTAAGTATGTCAATTTAACTTCTCATGTGAAAGTTGGTTGGTGATGAGCTCCATGTCAAAGTAAGTGACTGCCTCCCGATGTCCACCCTTTGGAAGAATGTTGTAGGAGAGCATATGGTGGAGAACCCTGGTCTTAACTGTCAACTCTCGAATAGTTGGCCTACTACGATACTCGACATCTTCCATTTCAGCAAGATCACATACAGTCTGTATTTGCTTGGCTCTCGAGAAATGAGTTTCATTCCAAGCATTGAACACATCAATTCTCTTCCCCAGGTTTGCAGTCTCCAGTACTTCTGCCAATACCTTTTTGGTGATACACATCTATACCCCATTCACATAGATTTTAAAAGAATGAATTGAGCCACTGGCAGCATGCAGAAAGGTGATGTTGTTTTAGAAGTATTGTACCATTCTTAGGTAGTATGGTACATTGAGGCTTATGAACTTCAGCCATTCTTGCTCCAAAAACGCCTCAAGGAATCCGTACTCTTCGAATTGGGTATAAGCATTAGGCGTCAATGGTCTTCCAGGAGCAACCCCGCGGTTGTGCATTCTGTTCTCTTCATATTTCTCGCTTTGTATTTTGGTCTGAAACAACACAGGACTGAACTCTTCCCATTCATAATTTAATGAGGCGGTCGATTTCTCTGAATTTATTTTCTTCTTTCCTCGAAACATCTTGAGATCAAAGAAGCGACAATTCACGTTAGCCAAATGACGAAACCAAACAGACTCCCTATACTCTGCGTGCATCTACAAAATCAAACAGGTTCAGTCGGCCTCAAACAAAATAGGTCGACCGTTGTTTGCAAGCATAAGCAAAAACTTCAAGCAATTAGTCAAATTTGCTAGTATCATGAAACCATTCATTATAGGTCGACCTGACCATAAGTAGGTCGACCTATTATTGCAAGCAGAAGCAAAAATCAAACAAAATGAGTCCACCTTGTTAAAATTGACGAAACCAAAGGGAAAAGGTCGATCTCATCTGGCACAAGGTCGACTTTTTTTTGTAAACAGAACAAAAATCAACATAACATTTGCTTCAACCGACAAAACCAAACATCTCTAGGTCGACCTCACACAAACTAGGTCGACCTAAGTTTGTAAGCAGAAGCAAAAATTTGTCATATGCATAAATCAACGAAACCAAACATGAATAGGTCAACCTCTTTTCATCCTCTGTCGACCTTTGTTTGCAAGCAGAAGCATAACATCACCATTTGCATAAATCGAGGAAACCAAACATCAATAGGTCAACCTCTTTTCATCATCGGTCGACCTAAGTTTGCAAGCAGAAGCAAAAAATGAGCATAACATATGCATAAACCGACGAAACCAAACATCTCTAGGTCGACCTCACACAAACTAGGTCAACCTAAGTTTGCAAGCAGAAGTAAAATATCGCCATATGCATAAATCGACGAAACCAAACATGAATAGGTCGACCTCTTTTCATCACCGGTCGACCTTTGTTTGCAAGCAGAAGCATAACATCGCCATTTGCATAAATCGACGAAACCAAACATCAATAGGTCGACCTCTTTTCATCATCGGTCGAACTAAGTTTGCAAGTAGAAGCAAAAAATGAGCATAACATCTGCATAAACTGACGAAACCAAACATCTCAAGGTTGACCTCACACAAACTAGGTCGACCTAAGTTTGCAAGCATAAGCAAAAAATTTCCCTATGCATAAATCAACGAAGCCAAACATGAAGAGGTCGACATCTTTTCGTCCTCGATCGACCTTTGTTTGCAAGCATAAGCATAACATCACCTTTTGCATAACGATATCTCTTGTACTTAAGAGATGAACTATTGCTGCCAAACGTTGTTTCACTCTGTCATTCATATAAACAAAACAAATGAGCACTAATGATAGTAATACTAATATCTTCACTCACATATGAATATACTTTCACCTTAAACTTGTGGTCTTTCAATAAATCGTCTATGCTCTGGTAGCAATTTGTAGAATCATATTGGTCTTCCTCCTCTTCATCAAAGTCAAATTTCTTTATGGTAACATCTTTCTCTTCCTCCCGTCTCCATTCGTTCTACACGTATTTCTCTTATAGCACCTTCTAGCTTCTCAAAACCATCATGCATCATCCTAGTCATATCTGTCAATCGAACTGCCAATTGCTCCAGTGTATCATGCATGGACATCTTATAGTCATTGAATTCTTTTCGACACACCACGATCTGCTCTTGTGTGGCTTTCAACACTTTCATGATTCCACCCTCATTGTGTTGTTGTTTCTCATCACGCACCATCGTCTAAACAATTTAAAGAAAAATTCAAATCAGAATTCAACTTCAATTTTGTACACCAAGAACAGAGAAATGGTCGACCTGAAATATTATTAGGTCGACCTTAAAGACATAAGTTGTCACTACCATAACCAATTAGGTCGACCTTTACTCTTCCTAGGTCGACCTATCCAGCAGAATAATACCAATTTACCAACAAAAACATGTGTAATACTAACACGAACAATTGATAGGTCGACAAGACACATGTACCGACTGACCTTTTAAGCACAACATAGTCTTACAAACAAAGCAAAAGTCGACATTCTAGATAAACAAGCAAAACAAACAGAAACGGTCAACCATGATAAGAATTAGGTCGACCTATTAGATTTTATATTCCTTACCTCTCAAGTATAGAGGTCCGAGTGTTGTGCCCTAAATTCAATTTCTCGCAATTATCAAACAGAGGCCGACCTAATTGAAATAAGGGTCGACCAAATGGTCTTCTGCACGCAACAAAACATTAAATTAAACGGTGCAAATTATGAATTAGACAAGATGACGGCGATAGCTAAAATAGGTCGACCTCACCATTCACGTTGTTGACCTCTTGAAACACGTACAACAGTAACCGCAAAAGATATTCTTCTTTACAAAAGCTATGACCGTACAAAAAATCAAATTCAGAGTTTCGGTGGCGGTGAAGGTGACATATATTCGTATTTATAGATATTTAGGATGAGATTGGGTCAAATTAAGTGGTAGACAAGTTAGGGTTACCTTTCTGGTGTTGGAATCCTTATCCAATACGGATACGGTGTGCACAAGGTCGACCTCGTACTTGTCAGGTCGACCGTTTATACTATTTTCATAAATAATCCCAACTTTGATGTTGATCACTTAATGAAACAGAGGTCGACCTTTTCACTTATGAGGTCGACCTTTTAATAGAAAAAATTTCGGCCTTTGAGATGTTTGGGTCGACCGTTATATTGTTCGCTTCCCAAAGAGGTCGATCATTTGTTGTCTTTTGAGCACAGGGATGGTCTGCTCTATCTAGTGCTCTTGTGTTATTCTGTTTCCTTTCCATGCCTTTTTCCCTCTGTTTTCCTGATCTGCGTGTTGGGTTTCTGCCCTGTGTCTTTGTTTATTTGTTTTCTCGCTTTCTTTGCTACCGTTTTGAACTTGGGGTTTTTTGGGATTAACGCTCTTGATCCCTTCCCATGTATTTCTTTCCTTCTAATTTAATTGTCAGCATTATCAAAAAAAAATTCCCAAAATACCTAAGTTTGGAGTGGTTCGAGTTTGAGGAACTCAAACTACTAACTGGTTCGAGTGTAGGAGACTCGATCTAGGCGTAAATTGATGATATAAGCCTCGAACCATGTGGGGCTGAAGAGGTTCGAGTTCAGTGAACTAAAATCACTCCTTTGAAATTTCCAACAACCTTAACTTTGTGCTCGGTTATCCGATCGTAGCAAAGTTTTTTTTCATTTCGCATAACTTTTCGAGGACTACAACTTTTGTAAATGAAATATTTTCAGAATATATGTGAAAATGTGAAAATTAAAGTTAAAGTTACTCCAAAACCCCTTATATTTAAAAATATTTCTATTTTGAAAATTTATTCCTACTAAATGTTGTAGTACTAAAAAAAGTATGCAAAAAAAAAAAAAAATTTGCG